ACAGCTGGGCTGTGAACCACACTGGGTCACACCAGAATGAGAAAAGCACTAATACTGCGGATATCAGTGGTAATCCTCTGTAATGGGGAAAAAAACAAAAGAATTCCAGCCAAAATGGAGATGATCTTTATGGTATTCCAGAGTGGATGGTAACACCACGGTAATGGTAATGAAACTGCTCATATATGCATATTCTTATATCTACTATATTAATTATATTTCAGTTGTTTTAAATTAACTGTTCTCACCCCAACACCACCTGATGGCACTGTCAAGTGGATGGGGTGGGGCTTGATATCATCCGAATGCAGCTCTCTAAGCTGTATAATTCAGCCGATTTTCCTGACTGAATAAAGTGAATAAACAGTTAAGTACAGTTAACAGTGTAATCGGTGGAAATTATCTGGACTGTCCCCTCCAAGCTTGTGGGCTCTAATAAACAAACAAACAAGTAATAAGTATAAATAAAATAAAATATAACACATAAAATATAATAAAGACTTTATTTAATTTTATGTAATATTTATTATATCCTGATCGGTCCCATTTTCTTTACATTTCTCCGGAGTCATATTGTGACTTTTAAATTCTTTCTTTAAACTCTGTTTGAGATGGGCATCAGTTTGTTAATGTAGCTGCTTGTCTGGCACTCTCCTCCAAAATGTCATTACTCACTATTTATTGTTGTACAAATGTTTATATTATTTGATACACGTTGATATGGAAGGGTGTTGGTGGCCAGCTTACACTTATATATATGTATGTCCCAAAAAGGAAGACACATTTTTCTCATTGTGAAGAATAACAGGAGATGATCATTTCCAAGTTAGAGTTATGCTTTGAGATCATAGAGGGCAAATTTCCTCTCCAGCTGATTATGTTGGCTGGAGATACAGCACCTTCCCTTCATACTGGAAAATCAGTATGCCTTCCATGTTACAGTGTGGAGTATTGTAGCAGTGATAGCTATGCCAGTTAGTTCTGTTCAGGGAATTCTTTCATGCATTCACCTACATTAGAGAATAAATGGTTATGAACAGGGACGATAATCTTTTATTTGCTCTCACTTCTGTTTGCTATCCTTATAAATTTATTTTGTTGACTTGCGCAAGGTAGTGCTCAGGATTATAGAGGAATTTTTTCAGAAGCCAAGAGATAACACTTTTACAACTTCTAAAACTGTTTACTTTAATTTACATATCTAGTGTTTTATAAGAACAATTTCAGTCTCAAGTTTCAATGTTTAAAATTTGTTGAGCAATTCAGAATATTCATTTTAATTCCTTCACATTCCTAATAAACAAAAAATAAACAAAAAAAGAAGTACATGTATGCAATTCACTTTAAGACCACTAGATGGAAATGATGGTCCTCACGTATTACTGAATGTCCTATTGACTTCTACTGTGAATAATTACTTAGATGGAATGATTAATATCTGGGCTGGAACTGTAATTGTGAAAGTCAGATGATAATGATAATAAATATTATTAATTCCCTCCATTGTTATATTTGTAGCACAAACACTTATAACCTTCACATTTATTTGTCAGACATTGTTGTCCAAAATGTCAATTAAGTGTAGAAACCAATGGAAACCTGACAAAGTCTCAGCCTCCTCAATCAGCAAATTGCTCTACTAAAATATTCACCTTGTATAAATTGGCCCTTTTAAATACTAAGCCAAACAATATGTGTTAAGCTTCGGTATCAGCATACTGCTCTGGAATATGTTTGCTTAGATTAAGTTTTCACTTGGTGTGGCATTCGTACCACATAATACCACTATGATAGACTGAACTCTGTAAATATAGATTTTAAGATTAATAATTGTTTCTGTGAGTAGGAGTGATGGCTAGTTACATTACAAAAATAAAAATTTTAAAAATAAAGTTTATAAATGTGTGTGAGATCAGTTTAGAAAAACTATAGACATTATTGTCTTGGGTAGTTACCTTGCCCAGCTTTTTCAGAGTATTTAAACCATATTTCATCAGTATTACTGCTATGAGTCACATATTCTACATTTTTTGTGCCAACGGTGGACCATGAACCTGACTGAAGTACAATGCTCTTGTGCAATATATGTTTTAATTGTCTTTACTTCTCAACACGCATTTCCCCAGCCCACCATAGGTGGCAACCAGAGGGACTGTGGTTGTCGGTGAAAGAGACTTAAAGTAGGACTTTTGTTCAGCACCATCTAACGTTTCTGGTGATATTTTAACAGTCCTATTCTTTTTATTGATAGACTAATTACTAGAAATATGTTTGAATGTCGCCTGAGCCATTTCCTCGTTTTCCAGATGGTGCTGTTTGTTTTCACTTATAAGCTCTGTTAAATGAGCACAATTTTGCTATGTAAATATTCTGAGAGAAATGGTAAGCAGATTACTACCTATGTTAATGTGGCACAGTTTAAAAATCAGTTAATATATTTTGAATAATTCAAATATTTAGAATTTTTTTAATTATTTAAAACTGAATTAAAACAGGATATGAATTTCCAGCCGTAGAACATGTGAGCATTACCCTCAGAAATTTTGCAATGCATTTTAAGACTACAGCTTCATTATTTCTGACTTATTCATTATGTTAACCACTGTCAAGATCTTCAATTGGTGACGTGAATCACAGTGATGTGGCAACTAAACCACTTACAAAACAAGTTATTGTTTTGTTTTTTTTTTTAATTTAAATTAATAAACAAAGTTGCTACAAAATATGTACCATACCTAGCTTTTTTTTGCTGAACATTTTTTAATTACATTATACATGAAAGCATAAAACTGCCTCATAATATATTCCTAAAACAGTGAACATTTTAGTTTTATATTTCATTTCAATACACATTTAATAAATCAAATAAATAAATCATGATGACACTGATGATGTCATTGATCCCTGTGGGGAAATTCTCTCTTTACCCACAGTACATACATGCAGCTGTGTCTGTGGAGCTGGGGGTTAAGGACCTTGCTCAAGGACCCAAGGACATGTGATTATTCTGCCAAGGCTGAACTTGAACTGGTGACCTTCTGATCACAGGCACAGCGACTCAGTCCCCAGTTGTTTATTAGGTTTCGTCAGGTTGGTGTTCCTGGTGACCACATCGGCAGCATTGTGTATCCTGTGATGGAGTGCCATTCTGCCCTTGCTGCACCCTGCCCTATGTCCTGTTTCCTGGTTTACTCTACACGCTTGCCAAGACTTTTAATGGTTAAGAAGTATGGAAGATGGGTGGATGGATAGATCCCCCTCCCCCTTATTTTCTACCCTTGTAGATGTGAAAGGCACAATGTGTGTAGCTTCCTTGAGAGGTATATATATACCTCTTGAATATATATGGCAGTACACATACTGCCATATATATTCAAGTGGACTTTGCCACTTTACTGCTCAGCCTAGTCTTTCACAATTATGCATGGTAATCAAGATATAAATCATTCAAGAAACCGGATGTTTATATTTCAGTATAAGCTTTTGTCTCACTTCCTTGTTCCGTAATATTACTCACTTTTAATCACTCCACATCCACCTGTAGCTTGTTGAATGGATGGATGAAGTGTCATATTCATCCATCCATTCACCCACTTGTCATTTCAAATGCCTTTGAAAATCCCCCTTTTCTCATAAAGTTCTGGGCAGAGCTGATTATTTTCTTGTATTCTGTTCCATAGTTTCCATCATTCAAAACCACTAAAAACTGCATCCACTGAATGAGGCTGATATTTGTGGGATTAATTAAATGTTATGTGTTAACTGTGATTTAAAAACCTGTAAAATGGAAAAATAAGAATACTGTAAATGCCTTAAAGTAGCATGAAAGGGATTGGAAATATGAGAACTATTCAGACTGTTTCTCAATGTTTCCTGTGCTGGTCTCTTTCAGACCTGCTTAGCTGCATCAATGTTCACTCCCCCTTTGTTTTCCTCGAGGTTGATTCATCTTTAACTACAAACCATATTTAACTATAAACCAGCGTAACACATTAACTAAACATGAATTCAGCCATGTAAACATGAAATGAGTAATTTTGAATTTTAAATTATTTTTGAATTTATTATTAACTGTTGTTAATGTATTACACATTATCTGTTGTTTGTTTTGCAAATGTGTCCAGTTGATAAGACGTCATCCATAACAGCGATGGAAGTAACAGTATATTGAAATTCTCAGAATTCCTTGACAATGTCATTTGGTTGAATTATAATTAGATCTACTTATAATTTGATCGATTCATGATTATATATATATATCACATATGTGTGGCTTAGTATCACATATGTACTAGTCACAAATAAGTCACAAGTCCTAACTTTCAAGACAAGTCTCAAGTCATGTCAAGTCAATGCCAATCCATAGTAATTTCACCATCAGTAATGTATGATAAATGTAATCGTAAATAGTTAATAATAATTTAATGCATTCCATCGTAATAAATTTAAACAGTGGCAAATTTATTACTAATTATTAATACTGTGTTAATATTCCATCTCCCCATGTAAGGGTTCCTGTAATAAACAATTCAAATAAGCAGAAAAACTGGCATAATTCCCATTCCATTTTAACAGTACAGTATTAAGCAATTCAAATTTAAAGCAATTCCAATGAAAATACAGACTTAGACTCGCAGAAAACGTATGAAAAAAAAATCCCTAAAATCTTTGTCACACACACTGTAGGTCTGTTGGCCAAAGAGTATTTAACAGAACTGACACAGCTGTAGCTGAATACTGAAACTTAAGTACATATCTGTACAGTTATTTCTCACTTGTTTATAAATGTGTATATAGCCCTGTTTCCATGAATACGTTAAATAGCCTATCTGCAAACGTCACAGTTACCATAAAGGTACAAAATATGTTTAATATGATGTTTTATGGCAAAATAAATGCATGTGTTTCACAAAGTTAATACATCAACTACCCCAGTAAGCACCACCCAGGAGGGAGTGGTCTGGCGTCAGCTGCTCAAGTACTCAAAGCCTTAGCTTGAAACACCTGGACCTGCTTCACATTTCGCACCGATAAGAAATAGGAGACGATCAGAGAGGATTTTGTCACAGAGACAAAAAAGAAACTACACTAAGCTGATTTTTTTTATTTAGTTTTTCTTTTTAAGAATAAAGTTTTTATAAATTATTTACGTTTTTATTTTTTTTCTAAATTATGAATACCTTAATGCTCTTATTTCACTTTGCATTAGTAACAACGATTTACAGACAGACCAGTAATGCAGGTAAGCATGAATTGTTAACCAATAGAAAACTGAATGGGCAAAGAAGGGGCAGAAAAAGGAATTGTCAAGAGACTGCTTTACATTACATGATTATCACTAAATTTAAAGTCTACTATGTCATTGTATAACATTTTCTGCATGATTAACCTATGTTTGTGTGTGTGTCTTGGAAGGGGGAGGGGGATTACGAGCACAGTTTTGTAACAATGACTACAGTTCCTGAATTTGAAAGCTAAATTTGAGCTCATTTTGAGACCTTTGACTATTTCAGACATATGGCATGAATACTCCGCCATTTGTGGGAGGCCACCAGTAAGCACTACCATAACATATTCATCATCATAATTCCAGATAATGTAAATTTTTGAATGTGTACATAATTATGCTATTTGTTCTTTTACTGTAATCTTATTAAACTTTTATATGAGTAACTATTTCAAACTTTCAGACAGTTCAAATAAGGCAAAATAAGAACATCCTTTATTACATTTTAACTGATCTAATATGCATTTGAATAGAAGCAGTATTCAAATATTGCAGAAAAAAATAATTGTAATGTATAATTTTGCTCAAGTGCAAAATTAATTATTGAAATGATTCAATAATTTTAGTCAATCAATACAAGCCAAGCAACAATGTTAGTATTAACCACATGATTTTACTTATCAAGGAATATGTTTTATGCACATATGTGTTTTATACAGAATTTAAGATGTCCATCTCTTTAAATTATAATTTACAGAAAAAGCATTATGATCAAATCCCTTTATAACTATAGGGATTATTGTAGCTTGTTAAACAAAAAAGCATGTGGTCACAGATTTGATTTAGCAGTGGATTGTTTAATCCACTTTTAAATCTGAGCTGTCTCCATGGCAATGAACTCTTACGTTACTGCTGACTGAGCATTCAGGAAACTTTCTTGATCATCAGCATCAGTGGGTATAATCAGTGAAGCATGCTTTGTTTCTAAAGCACCAACTCCAGTCCTTTGCTGACTGTCGGATTACAGTTTTAAAAGTTGCCAACAGTGTGACCTTCTTCTGACCTTTTTTCTGTGCTGCACTGTTATCTGAACTTTTGTTAGTTCAGGAAACAATATATTGTCATTATCACATTTAGACTTTTATTAGTGAGGTGTTTGACAAGTGAGGAAAAACTCCCAAGGACAGCCTGTAACTGCCATATGCTCCTCTGCTGAGGAATACTGCTGTGTCTGTGTATCTACATTGCCTGCCCAAAAAAAGTCACTGTTTGAATTTAAATTAGTAAGCGTTTAAGATCCAATGACTGGATCTTTATTACAGATCAGCAATGTTCTGCAGCAATAAAGTGAAGTCAGATGCGTTCCTGAAACTAATGAACAGCCAGGTTGCCCCATCAATTGATTATTCTTTCCTAGTGGCACGGGCATATTCCAGAACGATAATGTCATGATTCATCGGGCTGGAATTGTCAAAGAATGCTGCAGGGAGCATGAGGGATCATTTTCACACATGAATTGGCCACCACAGTCATGACCCTATTGAAAGTCTTAGAGATGTGCTATACAAGATCTTCACAAGAAATGAATGCAAATCTGGATGGAAAAAAGTGTTGAGATAAGCATAAGCATGTGGAAACAATGCATCAACGAATGTGCACCCTAATCAAACCTAAAGGCGGTCCAACAAAATATTAATTTTTTTGGCCAGGCAGTGTATTTTCATGAAACAAAAGATATATTTACTTTAAAATTTTTCAGTTTTTTTTATTTTTTACAGAAATATAGTGATGGGGATTCTTTAAGTTTATTTTTTATTGTTGATGTCATTGTTATTTCCATTCTCAGTCCTCCCTTTGGGGCTTAATGAAAACAAAACTGAAGGTAATGCTGAAGCCTCAGTCTTTGAACAATAAGTGTATTATTTTGAGGCTTAGATCTTTTTGAGTATTGTAATGATAACCTCATATTGTGTCAACAGTGCTGTCATGCCATGTGAAATACAGCTGAATTATTTGGCATTGTACAACAATTGTTTTTAGTTACTTAACAGACACTTACATATCTGTTTAGAGAGCTTGGTATTGTTCCTCAGGATTTCCGGTTAAAGCCTCAATCAGTGTCCCTTTCCAGCTTCAAATCTTCAGCTGCTTTACCCGCTGTGCATAGAAAAGCTTCAGAAAGACTTTCAGTTTTAAGTGGGCTGTACTGTTAGCTAGACTGCCTGCCTGTGTGTCTGTCTGTCTGTCTGCCTGCCTGACTTTCATCCCTCAGACAGCAGTTCTAAGAAACAGATTTTACTGTTGACTGTTAAACTGCAAAATTGAGGTGTTTACAGTACATTAAGTCTCCCACACAGAAGGGAATAGCAGTTTCATGAAGTCTCAATCATAGAAATTGCTCCATAGTAAAACTTCTCTTATTATGTTTCTACTTTAGTTAATACAAACATTATTTTCTTTATTATTACTGAATGATGAACTTGGATAGATACTTTTGAATGATTTATTAAAAAAAAAGAATAATTGTATTACATATGACTGCCTGGGTGTTGAATGCATTGAATGAACTCTTTGGGCTTTTGAATTTTATTTTGAGTTTTTTTATTACCAATACAAATTTTGAATATAATTAGTACAATTAGACCAGTGGTTCCTTCATAGCTGGCTTTAAGTCAAGCAAGCAAGACTTAAATATGTTGTAAAAAGAGCCCTTGATTCCTTAGTTAATCGAATTGGACAGGCTTGTTTGTCAGGTGACAAGTCTTAGAACTGTTACTATAGCGCTGTACAGAAAGCATATTAAAGATGGAAATTAACATCACTCATCAGTACCAAATATACTAGAAGGGCAAATTTACTTGTGGTCTGTTTTCAGAATAAGAGGCTATAGCTTCATGGTGTCCATTAAAATGAGCATTCAAACTTTTGAGAGAACACAATGATATTGGATCAAGGAATACTGCCCCTCTACAGGCCTCACAGGATCCTCTATATGATAGGGAGTCTCAATCAAAAAGATTATAAGCATTACTGGCTGCATAAAGAATGTCCTGGTTTCAGTGCCCCCCTCTCAACAAATAATTCATTGAATGTGGCCAGTATTGGGAGGACTGTGAAAGGGCCAGGAACAATGCTGGTATCGCAGGGCTTGTGGGACTGTGATCACCATACCTGACAAGGTCAGTAATTCCCAAAGGCAAAAAGAAACAGGGGTCAGACAGGAAAGTGTGGGTAAAGGATCCAGAAGAATTTTCATTGACAAACCGGCAGTGTATTGCAATAAGTAAATAGAAAAGAAATGCAGCATTAAATTGACTGTACTACGATAACTACTGACTTTGACATTACCCTCCATTAAAAGGTATTTTAATATCTGAGTTGCAGCTATTCAGCTGAGTAGACTATAACCTTTGCCCCTTGCTCTCTCAGTGTCCTTTAATCAAAAGTTCAACACTTCCTAGTATTTCAGGAATTCAGTCTAATCCGTCTGTGCAAGTTGGAGATGTTCCCTTGGCAACGGTGGAAGCTGGCATTAATGTTGTATAAATGTGTGATACATCAATATTAGTCAAACTCAAGTTAAAGTTCCCATATTCATGGGCAGTTAAATATTTTGTTTCAAGCAATATTGTTTTAGAACATATCTAAGAACCACTGGCAAAAAAAATCTGTTTTATTGATTACTTTAAAATGAAACTTTTCCTATGAAATTTATTTCTTTTTCCATAAGGAAAACTCCGGAAAGCCCAAGCTGTAGTTTGCTTGTAGTCTGTGCTCTTTGCAACATATATATTGGACACAATAGTGTCATAACAATATTATTAAATAGTAAAGTATTCCAAAAAATATATGGTCTAAATGTTCCCTCTGTTCTTTTGTAAAACTACTTAAAATCCTTTTTTAAGTACCTGAGAGGTACCATTCTTTTCTGTTTTGCCTGTATCAATATGACGCACGTAAGTTTAGTTTGTGTCTGTGTACATTATACAATGTGTACACTGTGCACAGGAAGTGTTAGGTGGCTTTTGGTACCAGGCTTGTATTTTTGCATTTCACAAACTGCTCTTAACATTAAAGATTGCTAAAGTGTGCTTGAACACGAAGTGTTCATGTCCTTACAGTGACCTTACGTGGTCAGCTCTTCAGCTCTAACAAGTTTTTACCTCAGGGAAATCTTATGGCGTATGACTCAGCATTTAATGCTTTCATACACTCTCTTTATATCTCCAGATACATCATCAAACACACATTTTCTCTATTGAAACTGTAAAATGACTCTCCCTGCATTTTGTTCTGCATTTGCTAGACAAGAGTTTAGTCAGATGAATCTTTAATGTCCCCAATGATCCTCTATTAGTGGTTTGATGGTGGGTGGATGGATGAATGGAATTTACTAGATCTACGTTTTTTTTCCATTTACCCCATTTTTATGTACATTTCACAAAGACAATATAAATCACTACCTCCTGATCATTTTAACTGTTTTTTGAGGCTCTTACTCCTTATCACACTTTCACTTCTTTCAGTTTGACCAATGGATTGTGTATAGTACACTGTGTATCATTAATTAAACTTATCAAGATCATACAATTCTATTGATGTATTGCTTCTCTATTTGTATGACTTAACACATTGCTTAACAATAATTTGATTTCCTTATAAATATAATCAATCAATACATATGTCTCCTCACTCTGATGAAGAAAAATTCTTCCTGATGGACTATGTTGGTACATTGTGTCGGTGTGGCTGGAGTCTAAACAAATAAATGTCTGACAGATTCTGGATTGAGTTTGTAGTTTACCATTCATAGTCTGACACTTCTTTCTATTAAAGGGAAGTGGTTTTATTGTGTTTTTTTACTGCTATTATAGGGATAACTCTTGTTTGATAATCTGCAGAGGATCATGCAGACTGCCATGTTGGAGAGTGAGTGAGAAAAGAATGAGTGATTTGTTTTTGGTGGAGGGCAGTCCTGGCTGGGATGGACCCCACAGATCCTCATATACATGACACAGCCATCTGTGATCCTATCAAAACCTGTATGGCAGGGGTATCCAATCTTATCCGCAAAGGGCCGCTGTGTGTGCGGGTTTTCGCTGCAACTCCCTAATTAGATTACTAATTAGAGGACTGATTGGCTGAAGAGTTCTCACACCTGGGTTTAAACAGCTGACCTACAGGTTATCCCAAAAACCTGCATACACACCGGCCCTTTGCGGATAAGATTGGCCACCCCTGCTGTATGGTTTGGGGACAGGGTGGATTCTCCATGAGAGGGAATGCTGTGTGTCTGTCTGTGTGCAAGCATGTGTGACATTTACCCTGGGGAACTTCATAGTCCAGTGTAGCCCTTGAACACAATGATATTATTTCCATATTGGCTTAAAGCACAATATGCTCATTCTAACAAACAGGGAAGCATCAGTGTTTCAGTCTATTGATTTTTTAGAAATGAAGTTCTGTTTCAAAATATCAGTAAGATCTTGGTCTGAAATTGAGTTTCCTCCAGCTATTTTAGCTGTCACCACACAGTTTTGCTGAGCTAGTTTCTCTTCATCTATCCATAATTGTATATGGACCTTGCGATAGGCAGTGTGTGTCATGTGATTGTATGTGGACCCTGCGATAGGCAGTGTGTGTCATGTGATTGTATGTGGACCCTACGATAGACAGTGTCTTTCATATGATTGTATGCGAACCCTGCGATAGACAGTGTGTGTCATGTGATTATGTGAAAACCCTGCGATAGACAGTGTGTGTCATATGATTGTACGTGGACCCTGCGATATGCAGTGTGTGTCAGGTGATTGTATGTGAACCCTGCGATAGACAGTGTGTGTCATGTGATTATGTGCAAACCTTGTGATAGACTGTGTGTCATGTGATTGTACGTGGACCCTGCGATAGGCAGTGTGTGTCATGTGATTGTACATGGACCCTGCAATAGGCAGTGTGTGTCATGTGATTGTAAGTGGACCCTGCAATATGCAGTGTGTGTCATGTGATTGTATGTGGACCCTGCAATAGGCAGTGTGTGTCATGTGATTGTACATGGACCCTGCGATATGCAGTGTGTGTCAGGTGATTGTATGTGAGCACTGCAATAGACAGTGTGTGTCATGTGATTGTACGTGGACCCTACGATAGGCAGTGTGTGTCATGTTATTGTTTGCGGACCCTGCGATAGGCAGCATGTCTCATATGATTGTATGCAGACTCTGTGGTATGCAGTGTGTGTCAGGTGATTGTATGTGAACCCTGCAATAGACAGTGTGTATCATGTGATTGTATGTGGATGGTCATCTGCATCTTGCAGTAGGACCCAGGCTTACTCTTATTCATTACAGGCTAAGTAATTCAGGGAAAAATGGTTAATATGTAATGAAATCTCATTAAATTACAAGCATTCCTATAATTGTATCATTAAGCGCTTTCCTTTTATTGTATTTCATACTTTTAATCTACAAATTCACAATGACCCACTTAACACAAATGATTTAATGATGGGTGCATAACTTGACAGTTATCGTCATCTTCAGGGGCTTTCTTCATTTCTGAGGTATCACAAAAAACAAAAATAATTTTTCTCATGAGGAAAAAATTGTTTGGCAAAGATTCCAAAGGTCCCAGTACAAAACTATTTGTGCTTATGCTGCACACTTTCAGGGTGTGGTTCAGTGTGGCTAAGAGACTATTTAAAAACAATAACATTCTTGAATAGAACATGAGCAGCCTGAGTAGTCATTGTCTTAGTTTACATGAGAAGCAAAACAAGTCATAGTCACGTTATGTTGTCATAGTCATGGCATTTTCTTAGGGCTGGCACAGCTAAATGTTGTCTTAGCAGTACATTCTATACATGTAAAGCTTCCAGAAATGAGTCTGGACTGGGTCATTCCATTTTATTTCAACAAATTTCCAGGTTTTTGCATCACCATTTTCTTTTCATTAAATTTGGCATGCAAATTACACACACCTTCTCTTTGAGATATGGGGCCTTTTCTACCCTGCTGTTACCAAAAAAAAAAAGAAAAAGAAAAAAAGCTACATGGCTTAGTCATGGCTTGTTTAATTTTTTTTCACAGTATCAGCAACTTCTATTTGGCTACCGGCTTACATTTGTTGAATGAACATGGATTGTCCTGACAGTTCCTGGAAAAAAACAATGAACAAACATAGTAATCATAGTAATCATAATAGCCACTATCGTTGTCCTTCCTATGAAAAAAAGTAAACTTTTAAGAGCCTTTATGCTTTAGTCAAGGCCCAGTTCAACATTGCTTTGAGGTAGGACACACCTTCAAATGCTGTGTAAGGAGCAAATGTGCTTTTTGTTCCTGGGTAGGCTTTTTGGCCTTAAAGGTATAAGGTATAAGTCAAGGTAGGAATTCATCATGGTTGCTCAGAGGAGATACCGGTAATTTTTCCTTGCCATTCTTCTTTGGGGAAACTGAGGAGTGTTTCTGGTGTGGTTTCTGTTGGAAGTTTGCCTTCATCCTCTGCTTCTGAGTACGTTTCAGGCCAGGTGCACACCTGGTAATGATTGTTTTAACAATACACTCTCATAAACCATGTAAACCAGCTTCCCAGCTGCTGGGAGGAACAACCAGACTGTTTGGCTTTAGATGGTTTTTTTTCAGTTGTGTGAGACCTTCCAGTTTTAATTTAAAAAAACCTTAGCTTCAATGGTCTTATCCAGTCCTCCACCACCAGCCATGGATTGGAAAGCCTTATTCAGGCCTATTCAGGCATTTATGGAGAAATTTAATGGAAAATCAATACATGGGTCCATCCATGAAGCCATGAAATCAGAGTGGCACAGAGCACATGACAGTGTCATACTGGCACTGTGTAATATCTGCAGTCCTAAGTGTAGACTGTAAGTTACTATTGTTGGAAATGCATTCACATGCAGTGTGTGGTATTCTTCACTGCTTCAGATGTCTTTGAGCACAGTGCAGAGTCTGAAATGGTACTCTACTGCTCTGTGCATTTTAGGAACGCCCCTTGTTCATTGTAGGCCAAGGGCTATCAGTACTCTTGGGACTAATGCTCACTGAGTTGAGACTGGACAGTCAGCAACTACAATGAAGCCTTGTTCTGTCCTGTGGAGACCCTTACTTTCAGGACAATAGCTGCTGGATATATGAGGGGGTTGAGGAGGGGGCCACAGATGTCAGTGCAGGGGGGGTTATCACTCATCAGTCAGATATCCAGTTTCGCACGCAAATTTTCTCTGCAAATGCTTATAATGCAGAAACTGTTGATGTTTATTGGAAGCTTTACTGCATGCTTATTTTCTATCACTCTTAAAATTACGGATCTGTACATCCTTTTGATGTTCTGATTTTTCTGAGATTGCCTTGTGAAAAGACTGTTTCACTCATTTACAATTTGTGATACTTTGTTATATACTTCTGGATGTTTTTGTATATTTACAGATTCAGTTTTGCCCCTGTGCTCTATATAACATTCACACTGGTGTCACTAAGAATATAGAGAGAGTACAGAGAGAGTTTATACATATTTCTATTCATAAAATGGGTTTGCTGGTAGTTCTTATGTATATTCTAAAGCAGGGATCCCCAACTAATTTCTCTTAGGGCAATGATATATTTTGCTGAGTGGAAGGGTTATGACATTTGAATTTGCTGAGAAGTCATGGGGATGGGGGTGGGGGGGGGTCACGTGGTCCAGATTAAATTATGTTCTGCTCCGGATGCGGGTGAGAGTCTGTCTTTTGGACACTCGTCTTCCGCATGTTGTCCTTCTTAAACTAAGAGGCATTTCCTGTACTGAACGATGACGAGTCGATGCTGCTTCACAGAGTGCAGTTGGGAAGCCGTTTTACTTTATGGCCCAGGTGGCATGTCACTGCTGCGATCCCAGCTGTTCCTGAATTGAGGGGGAACTTGGGAGAGGCGCTTCTGCAAATTTGAACATTGGCAATAGAAGAGTTTCTATTGCTACTGTTTTTCACAGTGGTGAATAGATGTCTCTGGCTCTTGCTTAATGATCTTACCATTTAGTGTTTGTAAATTATGCAACAGTGTTTATGGAGCTGATATGCTCTGTTATATAATGTCAATGTAATCAGCAGAATTTTGTTTACAGCCATCATTTATGCACTAATTGTATGGTACTTGATATCAGGCCTTCTCCCAGCCTGGCTGTTAGCTTAATCACATCTTGCCTTATAGGTATAGCAAACCAAAAGGGTATAAATAACATAATATTACTACATTTTTATCTGACTCCTGTTGCCCTTTGATTTGAAGCTGGAACCGCTGACTCAGTGACAGTAAATGCCAACCAGACTGCAGTTCCCCCAGAATCTCATTTGATGACATCTCACCCTACAGGTGAGTGCCGTAGTATTTTTGGGTTTTCTAGTGTTATTCTCAGCTTAGATGGATATAGGTAACTTCAAGATAAGATACCCCGAATCAAGACATTTCTGAGTATCACACATGCATGTATTTAAAAACTTATACAACTGCCATGTATATGACACATTTCTTTTAAAAATGACTTTGTGCAAAAAGGGTACTGAGAAGTAACAGAACCTCTTTGAGTTACTAAATAAAGAAAGAGAAATCAGTGATGGTATCTGTTTCCTGGCTGACCAATGAAAGAGCACATATGTATAGACAAAGACAGGAGTGGGCTGAAACACGGCCAAGAAGAGCTGTGGGAATGTTTATAAGTCCTTCCAGTCTTCAACGACCCTTCTCTTTGCACATTGTTCCTGCTGCGTGACCTGCGATAAGTCACATTAAGCTTATAAAAAATGTGGAAATTCCTGTGTTGTGTTATTTGTTTTTGTATTGCCTATTTGCAGTACCCCCCCCCCCCCCCCCCCCCCCCCCCCCCGGCACACACACACACACACACACACCAGTATAGAACTTCCACCCACTCAGGAGGACCCAGGCTGACTACTACCACCCGCTGTGGTATCACATAGCATTATCCCATTATCCTGTTCATATATATATCCGTCTGTGTGTGTCTGTGTGGATTATGTTTATATTACATTGTGGGGACCAAATGTACCCCACAGTGTAATAAAAAACAGTTATTTTAACGTTGTGGGGACAACAACAAAGATCTGTGAATGTAATCAAATACACTAAAATTGTTTGGTTACTTATGGTTAAGGTTAGTGCTTGGTAGGAGTTAAGGTTGTCATGTTGGGATTAGAGTTTCCCCATAGGAATGAATCGAGAGTCCCCACAAAGATATAATTACAATGTGTGTGTGCACATGTGTGTGATCATTGCCTTGTGTTGTGTTTAATGTGTCCTTTTTACCCTTTTTTACCCGGCAGATTCAATTACAACAATGGAAAGCCGAAGCAGCCCTTCTGCCTCCTCTCCAGTAGTAAATCACACTTCCACTGCTCCTTACCACTCCTCCTACACTGTTACTGATCCTGGTAGCCCAAATAGTACTGCTGCCAGCCCCACACTAACAGAGGAGGCTTTCCCTGTTCCTGGATCAAACATCTCCAGTACCATCCAGCCCAATAGCAGAGAGCAAACAGAACGAACCAGTGACACCAATAACACCAGCAGCACAGAAACACTGACATCGTCTCCTACAGGCTAGTGTCCTACTGCATTTACGTGACAACATGACATATCCAATATGGATGAATAAATGACAAGTCTGACAGATGTTTTTTAATCTTTAGATATGATTCTTTTTTAACATTCAGGTAAAAGTGATTACACCACTGCAACTGACGACAGCATTTCAACAAGCGAAATGAGAACTCTCCTTGATTCCAGCACCTACAGTACCATCCCCACCACTTCCACAGATCAGGCAGAACCAACCAGCACTGATGGCATCAGCAGTACCGAATTATTTACTGTTTCAGGTCTATCCCCTGCCTTACTGTTTTAGTCATATGACATGCCTTGTCAGTACATATTTATGCTCTGCCATTGAGCTTGCTTATTTTTTGCTTATTTTTGTTTATTATATTTCATGCAAAAGACACCTCAATCTCAACCAGAGACGGCACCTCTACTCCCACAACAATGGTGACCAAGACCATCCCTATCATTGCAACCACCCTGGTCCCAGGTGGTTATCCCGTATTATTTAATGGCTAGCTATCAGTTTGACAGCACTAAGGGTGGGAATGCTGTTTCACTAGTGGCATAATCTTGTTATATTACTCTATTTATGTGGAAAGGGACTCTAAAAAACTGATAAATACATTAATTAATCTGGATGTGCATCCGCTTAATATTTATCTAGGTTACACTTTGCATAATGAACATGAATATCTTTTTGAAGCAGACTGTATTTTTTATTTCCTATCAGGATTTTGCTTGTCCAATCCTTGTCCTTCTGAGAGCATCTGTGTAGACCTCTATGAAAACTTCACCTGCCAGTGCCTCTCTGGGATGTTCTTCACTGGGAGCAGCTGCATAACTGGTACATGTTCATGCTAGATTAATTAGTTAATTAATATCATTATTTGGAAGTATACAAAAATGTGATCTACACCACTGAAGTGTAAAAACACCAATAATGAACTTGTCCCATTCCTTTGTTTTTACCATGTTCTTCATCAGAATCAGAACTCACTTTAACAGCCAGGTTCACCTGAATGTACTAGGAATTTGTCATGGCAGTATTGGTACATACAGTCATACACAGCATAGAACATAACTTAAGAAAAATAACAAGAATAGAAATAAAATAGATTAAATAAATGATGGCACGGTGGTGCAGTGCTTAGCACTGTTGCCTCACACCTCTGGTGTCACGGTTCAAGTTGCCATCTCGGCTCCATGTGTGTGGAGTTTGCATGTTTTCCCAATGTTGTTGGGGGATTCCTCTGGGGGCTTCAGTTTCCCCCCATGGTCCAAGCACATGCTCAACATGCCAAGACTAGAGTTGCCAAATTGCCTGTAGGTGTGAATGGTGTATGTACCCTGTCTTGCCATCCGATCCTGGGTTATTCCCTGTCAAATTCACATAGCTTCCAGGCTCTGGACCCCTGTGACTGGCGAACAGGTGTAGAGGATGGATGGATGGATGAATGGCTTTTATCTATAAGCAATGGTGCAAGTCAGTGAATCAATATTTACAAAATGTGCAGTGTCCCCCTAGATGTGCAGGTTTAAGGACTGATTAGAACCAGGTTCCCATGTATATACAAATAAATAATGTTATGCATTAAGTATAGATGTGCATACTTGGTGCATCACCAAGTCTCACTTTTGATGAACTGATTGTCTGTTATTGTATGTTTGTCCCATTTGTATTGCAGCTAAGGTCTTTCCTGGCAACCTTCATTTGACAAATTCGAATTTTAGTACCCAGATGTCTGACACAACGTCAAAAATATTTAAAGAGACGGCACAGAGCATCTCAGAAATGGTATGTACTGTTTTCATACACACACACACAAACACACACATATTTTCTGTCTGTGTTGGGACCAGCTAAAGCGTGTGTCCCTCAATATATTCTACATTTGGGCAGTTTGTATTTTACATATGAAAATGTTTTATTTATTATCATTTCTCCGCTTTGTGGGGAGCTGAGAGGGTATGAATGGATGACCATGAGTGTATTGTGCACTGTAGATGGCGCAGGTATTAAAGGACAATGAAGGATATAAGGAATCCAAAGTCATCAGCCTCAAGTGAGTAACTCTTGACTTGAATTGATGATTGTAATGTCATTAACCCCATAATAGAGGTACTTCAGTGACAGCACTTTGTCTTTTTTTAAGTTAATGGCTGCTTATAAAAATAATATAAAAAAAGGTATTGCTGTCCAGAAATTGTATTATGTGTATTTCATGTTGCCTGGCAGCAACAATGAGGAAATGAGAAAGTATTTTGCTGATCTGGTGGCTGTGCCTGCAGGCAGGGGAGTGTCATCGCGTCTCTGGAGAATATATTTGCCCACAGCTCTTCCATCACGGAGAAGGACATCGAGGAAAAGATAGATAATGCTATCAAGAACAACGATTACCCACTTCTCAATAGTGCAAAATTCGTTGGTGAGAGTGATCTCGGGATTCATGAAAAATCAGCGTGGAAAAACATGTGTTTGAGTAGTGCTGGCCATGTAATAAAATGTTTCAGGGATTCGTGGGTGTACTGATACTCAAAATGTCATACTGGATGATAAAAAGCTGCTTTGGGCTTAAAACTGACACTTGTGCTGTTCTATTCTTTGTTCCCCATTGATTGTGAAGCCACAAGTGCATGTGACTCTGCTCCACCTTATTGTGACAGTAATACTACCTCTTGCAACTTTGACAATGGAATCGTCTCATGTTCCTGTCTGGATGAATACGTGCCCTTTTTGTTTTCAACAAGGACCTGCATAGGTTAGTTATTAATAATATCATTACTGTCCTATTATGTTTATTTACGTCTGCTGTCCATTCCCTGAGTGTTATTTGTTTGTGGGTGTGTTGATGGGACAGAGCACTGGGGATGTGGGTACTGTTGTGAGATTGACAAGCTCAGGACAAAGGTTCCAGCGACCCATAATAAATTTGTGTAAATGAATCCTGTCTGATGCATGCTCGAATTGTGCAAGTGGTGTTAACATGTGCAAAGCAAGTAAGACTGTTAGCAGCATAGATAGGGCTAAATTCCAAGCAATTAAATGACAGCAATGTAAGTCATCAGTCTTTTAACCTTTTGGACTGTGTTACTCTGATAGGAAGACAGGGTGTTTTCGCTGGCCAGTTGTTTAGTGAAGTGTTTCCCAATCCGGTCCTCAATCCCCCTCCAAGCTCCCTGCCAGACAGTTCACATTTTTTCTCTGAGCAAAAATGTGGACTGTCCATGGGTCCCTGAGGACTGGATTGGGAAACACTGATTTAGAGTGTAGTATCTTCAGTAATGCTTCCCAACAGCACACTGGCAGGGCCCCATCCAGGGCAGAGAGTAAACGAGAGCAGGTCAGACACACCACTGCTTCATCCCTTGACAATGGCACACTTACAGTCCTCCCTTGTGTATTGGTTTATGGTATTTTTCTGCAGCCCTTAAAGTTTCTATGGCTATAGAAAAAGAATGGAGTTTTGTTTGTTTGGGGAGACATAACCATCAAATAGCCATTATTTAGATCACTATATTCCTGGATTCCAACTCTTCCTCTGCCAAGTTGAGATGCCACCCTAACCTCATTTGCACTGTATTTCATAGTCTAGGTTCTATACTTGTTTTTGATTATGGCACTATTTAGACTTAATTTTAAGTGAATGAATTAAATTAAACACACCTTTGCACATGTGATTGGTTTAAATAATTATACAGTTGGATATTTCATGGGGTTTAGGGTGTTTTTACACTTGGTCTGTTTCATCCTTTAAAGCGAACTCAGATCGATTAGTCAGCATTTTTTGCATATATGTGAACACTCCAAAGGAACTCAGACCCCTTTGAAATGAACTAAATTGAGACCACACTGGGAGGTAGTCTCAGTCTGGTTCGCTTTTAGTTTTTGTGAACACAAAAAGAACTGAGTTCTCTTTCTGTTGGTCCACTTTTGGGACCACTTCTAGAGGTCTGAGTTTGGTTCCTTTAAAGAGGACTATATGTGAAAACACCCTTAATCTGACTCCTTTGTGGCTTCTCTATGTAGCAGCTGAGTAATGTGGTATTATATTTAAGTGTTAGGCCTGTATTACTGGTGTGATGTGTAACTAAGAAGATTAATTAGACTGGCAATCTGACAGTTACTCAGCACATGTCCAGCTTTTGTTTTAGCTCTGTTATGTTTTTGTTTCCACAGCTTGCCCAATTGGTCAGAAAGCCGAAAATGGGAGATGTGTTTCGTAAGTACTGACAGAGCAACTTGCCATTGTTTTGAGAACTGGCTCCACCATGTGGCAGTTTGGCAAAACTGCACCAAATGCAATATTTAGGATTTTTCTTTTGCACTAGATCAGTGGTTCCCAAACTTTCTCTGCAGGACCCCCCTTTTCTAGATAGGAACATTATTGAGCCCCCCCCCCCATTCAAACTACACAGGTTCAGATTCAAACTTTATTTGAAATACAACTCTCTTTTCTAATTGAGCGAAACAAATGCAATTACAAAATACAAATGGTGCAATTTCACCACTGTGGGAGAAAAAAGAGCAATCAATTAAAAATAAAAGTCCAGCATAAGTTTGAAATTATGCAAATGCAGATTTAACATTCCTGTTAATATTCATTGGCGTACACAAATTAAAGTTTGTCTTACGATTACCGTATTTTGTTTTTAATGATAGCCGCAGGTTTCAGCCTATACTATAGCACAAAACAACACTAAATCATACCCATTAATTGATAGTCTCCCTGCAATTCATGTAGAAATTTTAAACCTCGTTTTTCATGATATGGTTAGATTTTTTTGTCCGGCGCTGCAAAACGTCGTCACACGTCACCATGTCACATGGTACAAAAACCTTGCAAGAGCAAGACGACTTAAGACAGATCGTACAGCACCACTCAGCCGGCTGAACAAACTGGAACTGCCTCCGTGACGACACAACTTTGCCCTTAATGGCTGAAGAACGTGTGGTTTGTATGACGTTTGTATCCCAGGAAGTTGCGATGCGTTAACTGCTACATGTATTTCTCCCGAATATCACGTAAAGCAGTGAGAACTGGTTTTCAGTTAATTTACCTGGTAAAATAAAGTTGAAATAAATTACATAAATGCTCTAATAGTACACGTAAGTTAGTGGTTTATTTATTGTTAGTTACTGTAATGTTGCGCTGCTTTATTTATTTAATCGTCCAGTCTGTGAATCGATTTTAGGATGGCACATGCCCCTGAGGGTATCCCATTGGTGCATCCCTCCGCAATACCTCTGCGCCCCCCTAGGAGGGCGCGCGCCCCAGTTTGGGAACCACTGCACTAGATTATGATATCATACACTGACAGCCATAATAGTCAAGCATGTATGGGGGATTCCAGGGTGCTTTCTGTAATGTTCTATTTTTGCCTTTCAGATGCCCCTTTGGTTATTCAGGATTCAATTGCAGTGACTGTAAGCTAGTATTTCTGTTTTTCTTTGAAGCAAAGCAATGTTTCAGTGTTCTCAGAGTAGTGTTTTGATTTATTTCAAACAGGTGCACCCTTTTAATAATTTCAATGCCTAATATTTATATAACAAATTCATTAATTACATTTGAGGATACCGTTTTAGTGCAGTATGAGTTTTAACTGTATTTTTTCAGCTAACAGTGCCAGGAGTACAGCTTATCTGTTCCCTGTTCTGCTTGCAGCCGCCTTGCTGGCAGTGGTAGTGATCTCCTGTGTCTTGGGGGGGCTGCTGCTCTTCACACTCATCGCACTGCTCATCATCTGCTGCAGGTGCATCCCCAGATTCACCCTGCCAACAGCTGCTTTGTCTCTGCAGAACATGACTACAAACAGTTTCAGATTCTCTTGAGCTCTTCCCCTTGTCTTTGACTTCCTCCCCTAGTTTTTAAACCCCTTCCCTCATTTTTGCACTGTACACCTTGTCTTTGAGCTTCTCCCCTTGTCTCTGAACTGTCCCCCTTGGCTTTGAGTTCTTCCCCATGGCTTTAGGCTCCTCCTTTTGTCTTACCCAAAAGAAGCCATGTGATTCTAACACTGAAATATGCACTTTCAGGACTACGAGTAAAGGTCATAACTATGGCAGTCCGTACTCCAGCCCCAATGCTGCTGAACCGTTGCCCAATCAGGGAATCCCTAAGATCCCACGGGCCAACACAAACAACCATTGGGAGCGGCCAGAAATGGAAATGACAGAAAATGGCAACACACAGCCCATGGCCGCCAGGGAACAAGTGCCAAGCAGACGGGTAAAAAGGCAATGTTTCTACTGTAAACCCTGGAGTTTGATTTGGAAGTATGTGCTGTTCAACTGTTGCTGAGTGGGAATTTTGGGCCCGTGTAGTATTTGTTTCACAAAACAAGCTTCAGTGTTGAAAGTAAAAGTTTATGTACTTTGAAATGATTTTTCAGCAGCCATTTTCAGAACAGAGCTATAACCTTCCCAAATAACTCTAAATTCAGTCTGCCTAAGGCATGTCAAAGGGTTTTTTATTATGCTACTGGTCTCTGTACCCAAGTACTACAGGTTTAGTTCAGTTCTGTCAAATGCCAGAATGAGTCTGTAGGAATGTTAAGATTAAGTAAGATTAAGATGGATTTGATTGATTCCAGGGGGAAATTCTGGTGCATAGACAGTACCCATAGAGCAAAGACAGTAGATATTTTTATTAAATAATATTTATCAGTTATAGTGTTTATCTTCAGGTAAAATGACTGCAGTAGATGATTAAGGAAGCTCAGGTTTTTAAAGAACTCTAGCTGTTAGCCTATGTTGCTAAGGCCTCTACCTTTGCCTTTAGGTTCAAGAAGAATTACAAAGTAAATGGCTTTTTCCCTGCAGGGGTACTATGATGACCTGAAGAACTTTGCAGGAAGAAATACTTCAAAGTACTCCCACCTTGTACAAGGCCAGGAAAACCCATATTTTATTCATGAGGATGAATATGGCAAGTAGAAGCTCATCAAGAGTGGCCATGCTTATTGCAGAACAGCATCTCGTTGCATATGGAGCATCATGCCTTCCTGAAGACTTTTGCATGGTAGTGTGAATAGGTTCAGCTTGTGTATAAAGTGGTAGGGAAAAACTTGGTATTCTCTATCATTTCTAAGGGTAACATTTAAAATCTGCAAGTATTCTTTCATTGGGATATGTTTTAAATATGTCTTATCCCCATAGTTACCTTAAAGGTACTTTTTGTCATCCATAAAAAAAGTTTTGTAATCTTTTCTTCCCATGAAATAATTATTTTTAAGAAAACAGCCAACTCACCGCATTTGACTTTATCCCATTTCGAAGCATGTTTCTTGATTTAGAGCACAACAATTTCTACTACAATGACAAGATTTTGAGCAGTGTTAATAAGCCTCAAAATAGCAAGATGTTCTGGGTTAGATAACAAGATTGTTAAATATAAATGTTTTTATTTATGGATATTTTTTTGTTATTCTGAACACAACAAAAATAAACATTATCAGAGAGAAAGCTTCTGGAATCAAGTGTTTTCAAGTTGTTTTGGGATAGCTTAAATCATTGGGTGTTTATTTTTTGCACTTAATGCATTTTTATTTTATTTTATATGTTTGTCTTTGTATGCCAAAATGTTTCAGTTTAAAAGGTGCAAAGATTCAGTGCAAAGTGCATTTTTTTCTATTTGGTATGCTAAGATTCCAAGGAATAAACACCATCTGCCAAGTAAATGAGATGCTACATTTAAATGTACATATATTTGTAAATAACCTGCTGTTTTTAATAACAGTAAAAATATGCAGATGAAAACAAATTATTTTAATAACCTGTCTTTTATTTAATAGCATGTTAAAATAAAATGACCCATAGAGAGAATGTAACTCTGATCCAATACATTGCAGAAAAACACTGAAATCATTAGCTACAGTGCTGTGAAAAGTATTTCCTCATTCCACATGTCTCACACTAAATGTTTTCAAACCACACACAGATTTTAGATCATTTTAAATAATTGTATCTATCATATGACCCATGTAAGCAGGATTTGTGGTTCCATCTGTTATGGCACGTTGCCCAAGCCATAAAGCAGCACAGTATCCCCACAACGTCAGTTCCTTAGATGTTAGTTGGGGTTCTTTTGAGATTACCTGGCTGAGCTGTCAGTGTGCTCTTGGAGGAATGTTGATAGGCCAGCCACTCCTTGGAAGACTCACCACTTGTTCCAGGTTTTCTCCACAGCTGTTACTGTGGTCTGTTGGAGTTCCAGAGCCTTAGAAATAGCTTTGTAATGCTTTCCAGGCTGCTTAAATTTCTTTCTCATCTATGCCAGAATTTATTTTGCTTGCTGAGCCCTTTTGGTCTGTGTCACATAGCTGAAAATGTTCTATTTATGGGATGTTTAGTTTCAACAAGGCTGGTGATAATCAGGGATGGCCTGGGTGTGTCTAGTCTTATTGAACCCAATTATCAATGACATTTGTCTAACAGGGTTACGTTTTCATGCAGGGTCAGTTGTTGATGGATACATTTTTTCCTTCAATAAATGAAATGGCCATATCTAACCTATACAAAACAATGCTCATGTTGTCTGTATATTATATTAATTTTTATTTTAAGATCTGAAACAAGTGTGACAAAAAAAATCAGGTGGATTTCTTGGCAAATACTTTTTCACAACACTATTTATGCTAAAAATATGTAAGAGAGGTTATGTGGCACAATAGGTGGAGCTTAGTGGGGGGGCATTGATGATGTCATATGTGGGAGGGGGTGTGTCCCTTTATTCTGATTGGTCCAGGGACGTGTCCATTTATGGTATCAGATGTGCTTGACAGTTAGGGGTCACGTGGATGTATATGTCGTTATGCTCATAAGGGCACGTGTTTGTCAGATTGGGGGCCGGTAAACTTTAAATAGAATTAAAATAAGAATAAAATTAGAATAAAAATATACTGCATGTATTTATTAATGTATTGTTTTTAACTACGTTTCAAGGAATAATAAAATGTTTAGCCGGATGAATATAAACTAGTTCATACACGTCCATCCCTTCTATAACTGGTGTCAGGCCACAGCCACGTGCTGTTAGGGGTCCAAATTGACACACGCGTCCAGACTTTCTACATTTTAAAAGAAGGAAACACTTAAACTCGTTATATTTAACCAACAAGTTTAAAGAAGAAGAAAAACTTTAGCAGTATTTGCCAATGTTTTATTTCGGTGTTAGGTACAAGGTTGAAGAAAGCATTTAACCAACAAACCTTTCGATCCAACCCTCTGGGTGGCTGAAGCGGAAATGAGATGTTTTCCCAGCAAGCGCTCACTCAGCCTGTAGCGCATGCGCATAGAGACATATACACCGCCCGTGCTCTCTCATCCTGTAGCACATGCGCATAGAGACACGAACCCCAAAACATCATATCCCAGCATGCTCTCTCTGTATGAAAAATTAATATAATTTTTTTAAACCAATAAGGTTTAAGGAATAAAACAATTTAGTTGTATTTTGTTAGTTAATTTTAAATAAGTTGGACCAGTTTATTTAATTACATTTAATAACTATGGGAACTAGTGAACAGCATTTAGCAAAAAGCATCAAAAACATCTTTTTAAAATCTTTAGCAGAATATTGCCTTGGTTATTTTAATAATTTAAGGGATAAAAAACATTAATTAATTGGAAAAAATAAGTGCAGGAACTCTAATTTTCCGACATTTGACATTTGTGCGGTGAAAAAAAAATCAAGTCTTTAGGATGTGTTGGTTCAAAAACTATTTTAATTTAATCATTCTTCCAAGCAATAACCTATAGGCATAGGCTACATTTTTCTAATTCACAAATGGAATACTGAAAAACCATTAAAACAACATGAACCTGACCAGTGTGATACTTGTAGGCCTAACAATAGATGCGATTGGTTGGGACTCAGTGGATGCATATGATAGGGCACTGTCGTGGCTCGTGGGTAATGTAGTCTTTTATCGGTCTTGTGATATTGTCTATTCTCAGGCCACTGTCGCTACGTCGGATCAGTTTCAGTAAGTACCGGAACGCAGAAAAAAGTGGCGGAACCCAAAAGACAAAAATACAGAAGTTCCGGAACTGCGTAGGAGTTGTAAGGAGTATAAGTGGTTCAGTTATTACTGAGTTGAAGAAAAGTTATGAATGGATTCCACGTGTCCTTAAAGTCTTTGAAGGCTGATGTATTATTCTTCTTTTGAGCTGAAAGCTCTTCTATAAGGATGTGTTCTGAAATTAGGTTGATCCAGTGCTTTATGTGACATGAATTCCTAGATTTCCAGTTTTGAAAGACTATTTTCTTAGCTATAGTTAGAGAGACAAGTACTGGGTGTTTCATTTTCTGTGGAATGCAGATATAAGTGGTGTCTCCTAGAAGGCAAAATGAGGGGGAAAGTGGGATCCTACAGTCCAAGATGGTAGAGAGTGTCTTTATGACTGAAGTCCATAAATGGTTGACTGGCTGATGTGGTAGAAAAAATATAAATCAACCTCTCTGATAACACAGAGAGTCACTTAGAATAAAAGTCTGGACCTCTTAGTTTGGTAGGTTCATGACCCCCTATAGGGACGTGATCCCCACGCTTGTGGATTTGGCAGATTGGTTAGAGGAGGAGGTGAGGATTCAAGTAGACTCCACGCAGCTTGGAAACCAAACCAACAGGGAAGCCCAGAGTCCTGGCAAGAGCCAACGCAAATACAGGCGGTTTCCCCAGAAAATTGCAACTGTTCTCCATGGGAGTGAGCAACAAATTGGAGATAAGAAGGCCATCCATAGGCATCAAGGAACCCAAATGGAGGATAAAATGCTTAATACCTCACCAGAGGACAAACAGCCGGAGAAAATAAAGAAATTCTGCCCGTTTTGTGATACTACCCAGCATTATCTGAACCAGTGTTCAAACTTTCAGATCCTTACAAAGGAGCAAGTGGATCAATGGATCAGAAGAAATCATAGATGCTGGAGGTGCGGCAGAGGTCACTCGTCAGTGCAGTGCACACTGAGAGCCAAGTGCAAGAGATGTGATAAGCGCCATCTGGAGATTCTTCATGATGTCAATGAGGCTAACTATCGAAAGGGTACTACAATAACCACAGAGCCCTCTGGACAGGTTATATCAGGAAGATCCTCTGCTGAGACGTTCTATGTTGACAGACCTACAGGTAGCAGGCAGGTGTTACTTAAGGTGATTCGAGTGATTCTTAGGAATGGGGAGAGCTCACTGGACACGTATGCCCTTCTTAATGACGGGTCAGAGCATACGATTTTATTGCACACAGCTGCCCAGCAACTTGGACTCAAAGGCATCCCAGAGGAATTGAATCTCCGCACGTTGAGACAGGATGTACGCACTGTCCATGGTGCTTCAGTGTCATTTTTGTTAGCCTCAGCTACCCAGCCAGGTAAATCCTTTAGCATTACCCGAGCCTTCACAGCTGAAGAACTTGGTCTTGGCCCACACTCATATAACATATCTATTTTGAAAGGAAAATACAAACATTTACGGAATGTCCCTCTGAAGTCCCTCGTGCATGAACAGCCTCTCCTACTCATTGGATCTGATCATCCACACCTGCTAACACCCATAAAGCCAGTACGTCTGGGACCACCTGGAGGACCAGCTGCCATAAAAACATGGCTGGGGTGGGCACTGCAGGGTCCTTCCTTGCTTTTGCAGCACAGCTTTGCACCGCAGCAGTGCTTCCTTACATCAGTCATGCACTCGGAGGCTGAGATATTCAGCCATGTGGAGAAGCTTTGGCAGCTGGACATTCTGCCCTACAGGAGTGAAAAGTAAGTGACTCGGTCCAAGCAAGATGTAGAAGCCATTAGAATGTTGGAGGACAAAACTGTACGGGTCAATGTTGGAGGAATCCAGAGGTATGCCACTCCGTTATTATGGAAAAGCAGCTTATCCCCCTTGGAAGCCCCAAAGGAAGCAGTGTTGGGGCATCTGCGCGGAACCGAAAGGCGGCTTGCTCACGAGCCTACCAAAGAGAGATCAGTAAGTTATTGGAGGCTGGTTATGTGAGAAAAGTACTTCCGGATGAAGTGGCAGTTAGTCTAGGATGGTGCATTCCGCATCACCTTGTAGAACACAATGGAAAGAACAGAATTGTTTTTAATTGTTCTTTCTCTTACAAAGGCATTAGCCTAAATGAGCATTTGTTGCCTGGACCTGTTCTGGGTGCAACCCTCTTGGGTGTTCTTCTCCGTTTTCGAGAACACCACTTTGCTGTAAGTAGTGATATAAAGGGGATGTTCCATCAGGTGAGGCTTCTGCAGGAGGATCAAGCAGTGCTTAGATTCCTATGGAGAGACATGCGGAGGAACGACCCACCTGATGTTTACCAATGGCAAGTCCTCCCATTTGGAGCTACTTCTAGCCCCTGCTGTGCCACATTTGCCCTTCAGAAACATGTGATGGACCACACTGTACCTGGGGAGGATGTCCGCACATCAGTCAAGAAGTGCTTCTATGTAGACAATTTTCTGCAGAGTCTACCTCTGCTGAAGAAGTGAAGCAGCTGGTACAGGAGCTTCGCCAGCTTTTAGCAGAAGGGGGTTTTGATCTAACACAGTGGGCCAGTAACTACCCAGACATCATCTGCCATTTACCTCAGGAGTCGAGATCAGAGAGCAGTGCGCTCTGGTTCATACAGGACAGTGCAGATCCTGAGGAATGGGCACTTGGAATCCTATGGCATTGTCAATCTGATATTCTAAACTACAAACATGATCTGCTAACTTCAGCTCAACCTACCATGCGTAGCATATATCGGATCTTGGCCAAG